CTGAACTGCCTGGCGAAAACCCCAGTGTTCAATCGTTGAGCGACTGGATATCTCAACTTCAACTTAATTGGCCAGTCGCCCGTAAAGCTTTAGACGAAGCGCACCAGTCTCATAAAAAATTTGCTGACAGAAAGCGAGCGCCGCAGATGTTGTATAAGGTGGGCGATAAAGTATTCCTCTCGACCAAATATTTGCAGACTACCCAGAAATCGAAGAAGTTGGGTCCTAAGTATGTGGGGCCTTTTCCCATTGAGAGGATTGTAAATCAGGTGACTGTTCAACTGACTTTACCAAAGACTCTTCATCGTATTCATCCGGTTTTCCACGTCAGTTTGTTGAAACCCGAACATACCTGTACCCTGAGACCGACCCAGTCTGATCCCCCCCGTACCACTGTTGATTGAGGGTGAACAACATTTCGAGATTAAAGAAATTCTAGACTCTAGGAAATGGAGGGGTCGTATCCAATATCTTGTAGCTTGGAAACATTTTCCTCCGTCCTATGCTGAGTGGGTTAATGAGAAAGATATTAGGGCTCCTGAACTGCTTAAGAATTTTTATGCCAAATACCCTGATAAACCATAGAGATGTATGCCAATGTTAACATATGATTGTGGTATTTTTTCTTACAGGGACTAATGTTCTTCTTCTAGGGGGTCTGAATGTCAGCCTCAAGATATCTTCCTAATAAGTATATTATGTCTTCTAACTATTGCTTCTCTGCTGCTATGCCAATTTACTTCTTTCGGCTGTCATGAAATGGTGGGAGGGGGGAATCGTGGAGGGGAAGAAGGCAGGAGGTGTTTTGCATTCCTTTGCTGGGTTAGCAAGGGGAGGGGGGATTCCTTTCTTTAACTTTCCATTTCTTTGCTAGCCTCTGTCCCTTTTTGCGCAACTGCGAACTTTTATCAAAATATGTCAAGGTCAACTGGCAGTAGCCTCATCACCACCTGGAGATGACCACATGATCATATTCAGAAGTTTTAATTGGAAGAATCATTTGAACTTTGGGGGGTGGGAGCAATTCTATTCCTTTGTATATGTGTTCTACCCGCCAATTTCTCAGTTTCGGAATTGGCTCTGTCGTTTCCACTTTATTTTCCAGTAAAAGGATAACTTTTCTCTACACCATGGAGTCTGAGTATTTCTTTCTTGGGATTTAAAGGGAGCACAGACTGACAGTAGTTTCCATGAAGTTTTCATTTTTGATCCACGTTTTTGACTTTACCATATGTATATTTTTTTAAAAAATGAGTTGGAATCACAATTTAGATTCCCATTGCTACATGCTGGTTAACCACAAATTGAATCTTCAGATCACTGAACATGCCTCCAGTCCAAGTGAGAATTTGAATTTGTGGTCTCTACTATGTCTACAGTGTTGGCACATTCATTTTGCAAGAGCAAACTGTTCAATGAATGTTTACTACAACTACAATTCTTTCCTCTGGTCACATGAATCAGAAGTTATATGTGTGAGATCCATGAAAGTCGTGCTTTAATCAGTTGCACTTCCCTACTCCAAACTCACTTCTGAGAGTGCTTGCTTGATGGACTTTTGCTTTATTCTATTGGGTTAAAATAATGGACTGTTCATTAATTCTGTTATTGTAGGAGATGATCAGGCTGAGCCCAAGGGAGGGGTCAGGCAAGTCATCAGTCTTGAATCCCTTTGCACCCACAACAGATCTAAGCACACCTTGACCTTCCGTTGACTCTTATCTGTTTGTTTTGACTCTTAGCAATTCAGATTGTTGTAGAGAGTGTTAGGATGCATTAAACCTGTATTCATTTGAACCACCCTGGCTCCTGCTTTCCTGACATTTATTCTGAATCACTTTGGGTACCAGATTTCTTTCTTTTAAAACTTCACCAAAAGAGAAGTCAACAACTTGTAAGCTTCCCTCTCAGCCAAATTAAGGAGCTTACTAGTTATTAATCTAGGAGATATCAACCAGACCATTTTGTTTGTATGCTTTATTCTCACAGGAGTTCTGTGAAGATCCTCATCTGACCGTACATGGAATTAGTTCCCACGATTTACATCAAGGGAGCCTGGGAAACTGTTGGTTTGTGGCTGCTTGTTCTTGCTTAGCTCTTCGGAAGAAGCTGTGGCAGAAGGTAGTCCTCCAGAGTCATAAATGTTGCATTCTTTGGTTAAAATTTAAACATGGTGTTCCAAAGCCATATCACCCTTGGAATGGTGGCCTCAGGCACGCCCCAGAACCTTCACATCAAAACAAGGTGCATCCTCCTCACATCATAGCAATACATGTTGTTGTTGGTTTAAGAGAAGGGAAGTTTGTGTTTTGTCTAGAGTTGTATATCTCAACCTCGGTGACTTTGAGATATGTGAACTTCAACACCTAGAATTCCCCAGCCAGCATGCTGTGGGATGCACAATTATATAAGTTAAGGGTGAAGTAAGTTAAAAACAGTTTGTAGGTAAGATCTGTTCCTTTAAATTTTATCAATTGGTTCAGAAGAATCCAAATCTTTATGACTTTCTTTTCCAGAAAAACATGAATCATTTATTATTGTTATTCCAGGGGGAAATTACTTATCCTTTAATGGATAACTTTAATGTAAGTTTATTTGAAATGATGTTTTTCTTCTTTCATTAAGAGACTGTTAGTTGCAATTTCCATTTATGTGTATAGATTTTATTCCAGCATTAAACAAATTGATCTGGCTCACCAATGAATGTTTTCTATCCTATGTTTGCAGTATATTTTCAGTTTCTTTGCATACTGTAGGTGTTCCCGAATATTAAGGAACAGGACTGGGACCAAAAGAGACCAGAGAAATATGCTGGAATCTTTCATTTCCATTTCTGGTGTTTTGGAGAATGGATTGATGTGGTCATAGATGATCGGTTGCCAACCATAGACAATAAGCTGATCTACTGCTCTTCTAAGGAGCCCAATGAATTCTGGAGTGCACTTCTGGAGAAAGCTTATGCAAAGTATGTGGTGATTAATGAGGTGTAATTGCAGTTTTATCAGCCACTCAAAAATAAGATTTCTTAGTATGGGGATATTCATAGTCATTGTTCTGCTCTACAAAGACCTTGAAGTGTGTTCATACTACTCCTTCCCTATTTCAGATCCAATCCAGTATAAATAGCATAGGGTTTTAGAAGTGGCAGAAGATAATTGGATTAAAAGAGGGTCAATTCTGTTGGCAAAGCAAACAATTATTCTATTATTGGGTTTTATTTTCATAGCAGTTCATTACAAGATTTTCCATAACTGTGTAGATCTAGAGATTTACATTTCTGCAAAGTTAGAGAAGGTAGCCTGAAGTCTTCCAAAGTTCATTTGAAGCTCTACCCTATTGTCTCTTCTCTTGTGCAGGAACCCCTGGAGAGTTCAAGAAGGTCAGGTGTAGTTATGGGGAAATAAATAGCAAAATCTCATTCTTTGTGTGTCTGAAATTCTGTGTTATGTCTTCTCTAGGGTGGCAGGTTGTTATGAAGCCTTGGATGGGGGCAGCACAGCTGAGGCAATTGTTGATTTCACGGGAGCTGTAGCAGAATCCATCAACCTAATTGATGGTAATTATGACTATAGTATCATCGAGCAGGTGAAACTCTTTAGAGATTTGCTGAAAGTTAATAAAAGGGGAGGATTGATCAGCTGCTACATCATGGTAAGTGCACAGAACAAGCTGTGATGTGTCCTTTGGTCTATTTTTGATTCTTTATCAAAATGTCATTCCTATAAGGTAGACTAGACTAAGCAATCAACTCCCTAGGAAGGCTTTATTTAGATTGGCTGTAATATAGAATCTTGCAAGTCTTGCAAGTCTAGTTGTGCTGTATCTTCTCCCCCCTTCTTATACTCAAGTGAACCAAGAAGGTGTCTACCTGAGCCACTTCTGAATGTTATCTATTTCTCTGGACTTACACAAGTTTCAGTCCTTTTGGTCTGCATATCTCCATCATGGTGATCTTCCTTACTCTCTCCACAAACTCAAGAAAAGAGGCAAGATGGTTGAGGATAGCCTAGTTTGTTCTGTGTGAAGTGTGAAGGTTTTGCTATTTCTGCTCTTCAGTAGAAATGTCCCCCCCTTTCTTCTAGGGATAAGCAGAGAAATGCTCCTCCATCATTTTATTACCAATTGTCCCAAAAGTGCTTTTTCAAGAGGTGGCCTTAATGACTCTCTAAAAGAATTCAAATGTTCAGCTGTCTACAAGGGGTATAAATCCTTCCATTCCCCATCATACAGCCAAAACTGAAGAAGCTTCTTGGATGAGAAGCAAAACATCATCAACGAAAAACCAGAAAGTCCACTTGCCTCTTGAAAAAGCACCTTTGGGACAACCATGACCTGGATGACTGAATCTCCATAGACACATTTATTACCAATTGTCATTCAATTGGATGAGATATTTTGGCTTGGACAATTATCTCCAAGGAGAAGAGAACACCTGTGAAAATGGGTGGAGTGCGCAGATCTTACACCTTTTAGGGATAAAGTGTCTAAGGGCTTTACATTATCCAGTGGTGACTTCTCTGACTGAGCTTTTTCAAAACAGTGTTATAGTCAGAATTAAAAGGAAGGCCATCCTTGAAAAATCACCAGGGAGTTTTTTCAGACAAATCATTTATCTAATTTGTCTGTGCACAAGTTGTGTGGACTCAAAATTGCTAGTCATAAATGATTTAATTTCCCCCACCTCACCTCAATCCAAATTACCTTCTCCAGTGTCACAAAATTCCCTGGAAATGGGATTCAAGAGAGATTCTATGTAGCCAATCTATCCTTTTCCACCACCTTCTCCACAAAAGATTTTATGGGAATATAAACTTGGAAGGGATAACAGGGAAGCTAGAGTGATAGTGTGATCAGTTGAGAATGTTTCCAGATCTCCTGCAGGGGATGTGTTATAGACATACTAGATTTTTTTTCTTGGAGACAAATCCTTGTGGGAAGGATCTGAGGTGAAAAGAAATTTGGAAACTATCAACATAGCCATGATGTCTCCTGAAATGTTGTTGACCTTTGTAGAAATGTCCACCCCTTTGGAATGGGACAAAATATGAGTAATTCCTGGATCGGATTTTAGAGATAATTAAAATGAGACATGTCCAAGCATGCTTTGTCATCCATTCCATACCTCCCATAATCAGCTTCACACACACACACACACACACACACACACACACACACACGTTTTTCTATATACCCACACTGGTTGTGGGTAAATAAAGATGGAAATAATTATAATCTTGTAAAATCCTGAAGAGCAATATTATAATAAAACAAAAAACCAGCACAAAGGCCTTCTAGTTGCATCAGACCCTATAACACCCAACCAAATTCTGCAAAAATTCCTATCAGCCAATTCTTACCCCAGTCCTGTAACATTTATTGTTGTCTGCAATTCAGCCATGCTATGTAGCATCTGAGAGCAAATGTTAAGTCAGCATCTGAGAGGAAATGTTAAATCAGGTACAAATGTTTAATGCCTAAGATTGCTACACCTAAGTTAGACATCTGGCTGAAATCATTGGGCACTGATCTTCACTCAGAAGATTATCTGTGGGACAAAAAATACAAGCTCTAAACATATCTTCAGAATGCAACATTTTTCCATGACTTCCTTAACCACATCAGTGGAAATAAGGGTAGGGTTCTTATTCTGCACTAATTAATTCTCAGGCAGAACAACTCTGCCACGGGTTACAAGCATAGTGGATGGTAGAACTGTAGATCAATTTAACACTGAAAAATTGATTTAATTTTAATTATTCAGTTTAATATTGTTCATACTCACTTGTTATGGCTCCCCCTTCAGAGTTCAAACAACACAAAACCAAAAGCAGCCGTTCCAAAACTTAAATCCAACAGAAAGGAGTCTTACAAGATAACGGCTGTCATAATTTATATTCCACAGCAATAATACACGCTCTGTTCAGCAAAACAGTCCTGGCACAAATTCTCGAACCTCAGAGCCTCTGCTGAAAACCTCTTCACGCAATCCGACACTTTGTTCCTGACAATCTTCCCCCACACAGCTGTGTCCTTTTATGCTCCTTGAGGCAACGTGCTAATTACTGACTCGCCCTCCTCCTTCTAACTGAGTTTGCCTCCATAAACCACCTAGATGGGCGTGTCAATCTCCCTAAATCAACGTCTGGCTTGATGCCTCCTCACAGCTTGACGTTTCAGCCTCCTTCTGGTTCTGGCATCAAGCCACGATCTTTCAGCTTCCTCGCTCGACTCTTCTGACTCATTTTGTGGGTCAATTGCTGGCATGAATGAGGTCGAGGGTTCAGGCGAAGAGTGTCTGTGTGATAACCTCTCATCCCCC